TACGTTCGCGGTCGACCGCCGCTGACTCGTGGTCGACCACCGCTGACTCGCAGTCGACCGCCAGTTTGCTTGGCTGAATTTCTGGGTTGTTTTCTTCAGTTGTTTGCCAATTCTTCAGTAACATCTATTTAAACTCATGTAATTGAACACATCAATCATCAAATGAAACTACAACATTCCTCAATAATATTTATTTTCATGATGGTATCAGAGCAACCCATGTTCAAATCTTACTAATTATAATTTTAAAACAGATTTCCTAAAATTTGACACCATTGCGGGAGTTCAGGTTTCAGCCTATTAGAAGGGCGATCAACCTTAGGTGTCATGTTTGAATATAAAAATATAATCCTAAATCTTCACCATAATTTAACTAAAGCATTATTCATGTAAACTATATTAATAATTCAAATATCACATCAATTTTAGAAATTTACGAGATATATCGACTATAAAATTATACGAGTTTCGATCGGTACCTATTGTAGTCTTCATCAATTAATTAAAGTAAAGGACGGGAAACACTGTCTACAGTATTTTAGTATATTTTGTAATTTAAAATAAATTTCTGATACCAACAAATATATCATTTTTTATTCAAACTTATGGAAACCGCAAACTACCAATTCAGATACCGAAAAGGGAAAAACGAAATCACTACAGATACCAAGATTTTATCCTTCGAATCAATCAAACCCTCTAATCCATCTATTTAACCTTCCAAATTGGTACTACGCAACTTAATGCCAGAAACGCCGTAAAAAGGCTGCAAGACCGAAGTCAGATCCTCGATATAGCAACACAAAGATGCAGAGTGCAGGAAATATTGTAAGCTCGAACACTAGCGGAAGTATTTCACTGGTTTGTGCTTTCCTGCCTCCATATATGTTGAGGTAGATGTTGCACGAAAAAGCCACGAGAAGTGACACCAAAGCTAAGAATAAGGACACATAGGCAAAGAAGTACCTCGTCGGGAGAGACCTACGGAAGTCCTGCTCTCTATAAGGAGAATTCACAAGGGTCAAGAACAATACAAGGGCAGTGGAAGCACAAGAAAGGCCGACCACGTATGAATGACTGAAGACCTTGAAGGCTGTCTTGTGGTAGAAAGTGGGGTTTCCGTTCTCTTGGTCACCTGGAATGGAGAAACTGGAGGCGAAGACTACCGCGGCGACAAGACCTGAGCATGTTTTCCCGATTTCTACTAGCTGAACCTTGGCATCTTTTACCATGTCCTTGTGATTCTCGGTGAAGAGCTCGTGTGCTGTTTTCTCGCCTTCATTGCGACTGTACTCCAGATCTTTGGGGACCAGCTTTTTAACCCTCTGCACCAGAAGAAAGAATTAGTCACAGAAATTCATGTGCTTCTTTCTCAGAACAAAAAAAGATAACTCCACATGTTTATCTGCTCTACTCACTGCTTGCAGATTTATCTTTCAGCAATCATCTAGCTATGTTTTTCATGTTTCAATGTAATGTGTTATTAGATAAGGAGCATATATTGTTCAAGAGTCTAGTGAGACATAAAAATGAGATACTGAAGTAGCTTAGAGGCTCAAGCACCTGTATGGACTTTAAAGTTGCAGTTGTTATACTTATTTGAGTCGCGGGTCCGCAATCGTCCTTTTAATTTCTGCACTCTCTCTCTCTCTCTCTCTCTCTCTCTCTCTCTCTCTCTCTCTCTCTTTCTCTCTCTCTTCCCCCTCCCGATCTTATAGTTGAAAGCGGTTCTTAATTTGAAGCTCACCTCAAACCATTGGAGTTCTTTTTGCATTTGTAGAGGAGACGCATCTTCTTTCTCCATTTTCTCTGCAGCAAAATGCAAGATAGTGTTCTTAGTGTTTTTGTCAATGCTCGACAGCAACCATGATGGAAGCACCGGGTTAGTGCCAGTGACCATTGACTCCACGATCCCCACAATCTTTTCTTGACCATTTTGGATGGCAACTTGTAGGATGTTTCTTCCCTCAAAGTCCAAGAATATTGCCGACTGTGGACATACCTTGAGGATTTGCTCTACAAACTCGTGGAGACCCATTTTAGCCCCGAGCGTTAATGGTGACTCATCCCATCGTCTGCTGTCAGAATTCTTGGTGTCTCCTAACATGGATTTTGCTCGTGTCATTTTACCGGAGTCATCTGAGGAAACTGTTGGCTTCCTCTTTCTAATGGAGTCTGCAGTTTCCTCTTCAGACGGAGCTGTCCTTCCCTTCACAATGAAATCCCAGTAACTAGGATCTTTCGCCAGATACTGAACAAGCTCCATTGCTTGCTTATGTTTTATCTTCTGCTGTTCAAGGTACACAACTCCGGAAAACACTGTCCAAAATTGTTGGTAGAATTAGAATGGTCTATATGAATAAATGATAATTGAATTTTCTTAGAGATGAGGACTCACTTTGCTTCAGAATTATGAGGAGAAGCACCCTTATCCATCTGACTGCAATAGAAACTGCACAAGATTTTCAATTCTATCAAGTTCTGAAAATTTGGCAGTTCCAAGCCCGTGCAAGAAAGAAAAAGGAATAAAAGAAGTCAGTGTAAAGGGAGTCTTTACCTGGAATCCAAGCAGTCGTTAACAAGTCAAAGAAGGTTGCATAATTGGGTGGAAATTTACTTCGGTGTCTCGTTAAAAAGCGTATGCCTGCCCTCTCCGCTGCATCTCCAAGCGGCTTCACGTTCAATTGGTGATCAAATGACATGCACCATCGTAGTCAGAAGAAATTTTTACTGACTTATGTGCTAATTCTTAAGGCTAGCTAGTCCTTACCCAGTATGATTGATCAGAGTTTTCATGTGTTACTTGCTTCTCTAGATCGCCTTTATGGGTCATATTGGCAGCAATGCTGTCTTCTAGAGGAATAACTGAAAATTCATCAAAAAGGTAGGAAAAAATTATGTCTACATGCATTCTTGTTATTAATGTTCCGACGTACTTTGCTATTTCATTCCGAAGCATTATATTTTATATTGTTGGGTTAATTGCATGTTGACTCCCTGTACTATCGTCCAGTTGTGGATAGGCCCTCATAGTCCTATTGTTGCGGACTGACCCGTGTACAATCGTCTAATTGAGGATGGACCCCATGAGTGATTTTTTTTTCTTTTTTGACTCTTCACGAGGTCTATTTGTCAAAAAAAAAAAAAAGAAAGAAAGAAAGAAAAAACAATAAACAAATTTCTGTCTCTGAAGGTAGAAGAGCCAAAAATTTAACTCGGGGTCTATCTGCAACAATAGAACCACAAGGGATCTATTTGCAACAATAGAACCACTGGGGTCTATCTGCAACAATAGAACGGGGTTCTGTCTGCAACCGGGAGATAATACGGAGGTCTGTCCGCAATTAACCCTGCATTGCTTCTCCGGTCTCGGTCTGAAGAAGAAGAAGGGAAAAAAGGGGCTCTCACAGTCATAAATAAGAGCCGAAAAGGACCCAAGAGATAATTTGCTCCGAAATGCATCTGGAATAGTCACCACGAGTTGCAGAGGTGTGACTGCTCTATCGTTGCGGGTTGTCATCAGGTCACGGTATTCACTTGCTATTTCCAAGGCGAGACCTTCCAATCATATATATATGTATGCACAAAAAGTTAATATTTATAAACCTTGAACGCCCAACAGTGGATGCACAGAGTGTGAGTTCCCATCTTCGACTCGAAGTAATATTGCTTATAAATATTAATTATTTGGAGGAGTCAAAGTTCATCACGCCGAATATATATATAGGCGGTTGTTAGCAAAGGTTTGGGGGTTTAGTGAGAAGAACGAAGTTTGGGGGCGCTCTGAGGCATGCAGCCCTTTTTTCGCCCTCGGGTGTGTTGTAAAGTTAAGCAATATTTGCAGAGAATGATTTTTGATATATTTAACTCAATAATAAACTGGCCATTATATAGGCTTTACAATAAAAAACTTTAAACTGAAAAATCGGAAATGCTAGTACTTAGTGGATAATCATGGGCCACGATTTACTCCACCAAATATTAACTAAATACTCTGACTTCTAACTTCTAAGTGTTGGGAATTTATCAAATAAATAAAGATTATAGCATGAATTTAAACCCGGAAATTAAATAAATAATATATTAAATATAGATAATATAAATTAGAGAAACAGGCCTGACGGGAGCAGTCGTGTAAACACTGCCCTAGAAGATTGAGGACCCGCCTATCGCCCTGGCGCAGATGATCCCTTCTCCCCTAGCGGTAAAAACCCCCGGAAACGGCCCGGCCTCTGCACTCGGGCGAGAGTGCAGAGCTTCAGCTCAGATGAAGAAGTTGCCCATAAAGTAAAACTAAAGTATAGATGAAAATGATATGTAGAGGAGAAAAGAAAACAAGATAAGTTTTCCACATTTTTCTTCATGTTTCTTGAGCTCAACATATGTTGTTTATATAGGGGTTGAAAAGAGCCGTTACAAAATCCCTCAATAAATTTCGTAACGTTCGTCATAATGTATAGTCATTATGCCCATTTTAATTACAAATTAAAACACATTAAAACATATTTTAATTGCATATTTTAATTACAAAAATTTATTAGAATTCATTAAGGCAAAATTGCCTTTTCTTTAAAAATATCCAACAACAACTTAATTCTAGACCCAATTTCCTTCTCCATTCTCGCAATTGTTTTTCCACGTGAGCCTACTATCATACTTGTGAAATCGTAACCAGGATATTCTTTCCCAGGTATATAAATCTTTGTTTTGATCTTAGTGGCCTTTTTCCTCATCCATTTTTTTAATGCTTTTTGGCAGCTAGAATTATTTTGGGTCAACTTTTCGATGAATTTTTCCCTCTATTCCTTGAGTTTGCTGCGAAGCCTGACCTCCCTTGTATTTACTCTAATCGCAAAGTCGTCGTAAAGAGGTGGTGGAGACCTTTCACTCTCTGGTCGATAATCGACTAGTCTAGACTGCAGCTTTTTTGATATTTCAAAAAGTTGAGCAATCAATTTTGAAGTTTCTATATCATTAAGAGGAGGATTATTTGCGGTGGATGCCATGCTATATTGAGAATCATCATCGGATCATCTCGATTGCCGAGTTTTCCTCTTTTCTGATGATGAGACTATACTACCAACATTCTCTGCTAGTTCTTTAACTTTATTTTCAGTAACATTCCCTCTGTCACACCTCTTTTTGCCAGCAATCTCTTTAGCAGGCAGTTTTTCAGGAACAGTTACATTACCAGCTGAATTCATAACACAAGATAGCTCAGAAAATCTTGGCGCAGAAGCTATATCAGATGTCATATTCATCTTGCCTGAATTCAAATGCATAAAATTTTTAAAATTATTCTATTATAAGAGGTTACAAATTGGTTGCCTACAAAGGAGACCGTCCAAATTTAAATCGGTTGCCTACAAATGAGACCTTCCAAATTTAAATTGGTTGTCTACAAAGGAGACCTTCCAAATTTATGTTGCCATTTTTCTAGTACCACCTCTTATACAAATAATAATAATAATTGTACATACGTGCTTTAAAATTTCAAGTGCATTCTTGCATAAAACCTTGAAATTAATCATGTAACAAATGCAAGTTATCCAAAAGATATATGAACATTTATTGTAATATCCATTATAATGCAATAAAAGAGATGAACTTTACATATGAAGATTTGAACAATATCCATCATATAAAATAGAATTTTAAAAAATGCACCTCTTTGATTTGTTCGCTCATATATTGATCATTTATCATTAGGCAATATATGATGCAAGAAGCGTAATTAAATAAATGCATATGAATTTTTCTCATAATTCCGGTCCTCTTATTCCAGGCAATATATGATGCAAGAAGCGTAATTAAATAAATGCATATGAATTATTCTCATAATTCCGGTTCTCTTATTCCAAACCAAAAACTCCTAAAGTGAAAAGATTAAAGTTTTACCCGGGTAGTTAGCCAGGTAAGGATAGTAATAGAGGTTGATCAAAGATCAATTAAGTACCTCGTTCCTTGCAGAGCGCGTTACGCAACCCTTAAACCTTGCCTTAGACACCAACTAATCCAAGAAAACTTGAATCGGTTCACTCAATGAGTTTTTGTTCCTTAACAGTATATAGAAACTTTAAAATATTTCCTATTGATGTTCGAACCTCATGATTTTCATGTTTTGAGAGTAAAAACTCATCTGCTGCAGACAACTGCCACTTAAGTTGCTGAACAAATCTGCATTCACTTTTACCACCTTCTGTACTAAGCTTATTAGATGCATAAACACTCCAAAGTATGGAATTATTAATAGAAGGCATCATATTATTGATAGCTTAAAGAAATAAAAGTATTAAACCATGAACAAATCCAGATATTTCAAAGCATCTATGCATCCAGAGTTTGTTCTCTTTATTCTTGTCAAAACCATGCATATAAAATTTTTAAGAATAAAAATGTGCATTGCTACAAATTTATAGCATGTTTCAAATGCGAATGACATGCACCATCGTAGTCAGAAGAAATTTTTACTGACTTATGTGCTAATTCTTAAGGCTAGCTAGTCCTTACCCAGTATGATTGATCAGAGTTTTCATGTGTTACTTGCTTCTCTAGATCGCCTTTATGGGTCATATTGGCAGCAATGCTGTCTTCTAGAGGAATAACTGAAAATTCATCAAAAAGGTAGGAAAAAATTATGTCTACATGCATTCTTGTTATTAATGTTCCGACGTACTTTGCTATTTCATTCCGAAGCATTATATTTTATATTGTTGGGTTAATTGCATGTTGACTCCCTGTACTATCGTCCAGTTGTGGATAGGCCCTCATAGTCCTATTGTTGCGGACTGACCCGTGTACAATCGTCTAATTGAGGATGGACCCCATGAGTGATTTTTTTTTCTTTTTTGACTCTTCACGAGGTCTATTTGTCAAAAAAAAAAAAAGAAAGAAAGAAAGAAAAAACAATAAACAAATTTCTGTCTCTGAAGGTAGAAGAGCCAAAAATTTAACTCGGGGTCTATCTGCAACAATAGAACCACAAGGGATCTATTTGCAACAATAGAACCACTGGGGTCTATCTGCAACAATAGAACGGGGTTCTGTCTGCAACCGGGAGATAATACGGAGGTCTGTCCGCAATTAACCCTGCATTGCTTCTCCGGTCTCGGTCTGAAGAAGAAGAAGGGAAAAAAGGGGCTCTCACAGTCATAAATAAGAGCCGAAAAGGACCCAAGAGATAATTTGCTCCGAAATGCATCTGGAATAGTCACCACGAGTTGCAGAGGTGTGACTGCTCTATCGTTGCGGGTTGTCATCAGGTCACGGTATTCACTTGCTATTTCCAAGGCGAGACCTTCCAATCATATATATATGTATGCACAAAAAGTTAATATTTATAAACCTTGAACGCCCAACAGTGGATGCACAGAGTGTGAGTTCCCATCTTCGACTCGAAGTAATATTGCTTATAAATATTAATTATTTGGAGGAGTCAAAGTTCATCACGCCGAATATATATATAGGCGGTTGTTAGCAAAGGTTTGGGGGTTTAGTGAGAAGAACGAAGTTTGGGGGCGCTCTGAGGCATGCAGCCCTTTTTTCGCCCTCGGGTGTGTTGTAAAGTTAAGCAATATTTGCAGAGAATGATTTTTGATATGTTTAACTCAACAATAAACTGGCCATTATATAGGCTTTACAATAACAAACTTAAACTGAAAAATAGGAAATGCTAGTACTTAGTGGATAATCATGGGCCACGATTTACTCCACCAAATATTAACTAAATACTCTGACTTCTAACTTCTAAGTAGTCCTAAGATGCTACTTTATTTTAGGAGATTAAACTGCCACTAAGGCACTAACAACTAACCACTTAGTCCACTAATTTTGGGGCATTAACAAACACACTCCCTTGCCCTCAAAATCAGTCACTCCCATTTTGGACCTGAAGTACCCATGCTTGCCAACAGACAAGGACTTTGTCAGAACATCAGCTACTTGTTCCTTAGTTCCACAATGCTTCAGTACAATTAACTCTTTTGCAACAAGATCTCGAATGAAATGACAACGTATATCAATATGCTTTGTTCTGCTATGGAATGCCGGATTCTTCGCCATAGCAATTGCTGCTTTGTTGTCACAATAAATCTCAGTTGAACCAAGTTGCTCTTGTTGGAAGTCTGCAAATAACTTCCTTAACCATATTGCTTGACATGCTGCTGCAGTTGTTGCAACATACTCAGCCTCTGATGATGACAGAGCCACCGTTTCTTGCTTCTTCGAGCTCCACGTAATAGCACCGGAACCCAAACTGAAAACACAACCAGATGTGCTTTTTCTGCTATCGAGATCTCCTACCCAGTCACTATCTGTATAGCCAACCAGCCTGCAGTTTGATACTTGTGAGTACCAAATTCCGTAACCAAGAGTTCCTGCCCTATATCTGATAATCCTTTTCGCTGCTCCGAGATGATGCATAGTTGGATTATGCATGAACCTGGAAATAACACTGACAGAATATGTTATATCCGGTCTTGTATGAGACAAGTAATTCAATCCGCCAACCATACTTCTAAAATACAGTGCATTTGCCAAGCCCGTACCATCATTTGCTATGAGGGACTCATTTGGATTCATTGGAGTTGGAGCTATACTGCAGTTTTCCATATTGAACCTTTTGAGCAGGTCATTTGCATATTTTCGTTGAGAAATGAAAATCCCTTTAGCACATTGATTTACTTCAATCCCAAGAAAATAATGCAACAACCCCAAATCCGACATTTCAAAAGTTTTCATCATAGAGGACTTAAATTCAGCAACAAGTGATTCACAAGAACCCATATATATCATATCATCGACATAAAGACAAACTAACAATAAGTCAGTTTTACCTCGTTTCTTCACATAAAGAGTAGGCTCGTTTTTGCTTCTTTCGAACCCATTCTCCAAAAAGTATGAATCAATCTTGCTATACCATGCTCTCGGTGCCTGCTTCAGGCCATACAAAGCCTTCCTTAGCCGATAAACTTTGTCTTCTTCACCTCTCACAGCGAACCCTTCAGGTTGTGTGACATATACTTCCTCTTCTAGATCCCTATTTAGGAACGCAGACTTCACATCGAACTGGTACACAGGCCAATGTAATTGAGCAGCAAGAGCCAAGAACGTTCTCACCGTCTCAAAGCGAGCTACTGGAGAAAACGTCTCTTCAAAGTCGATTCCTTGTTGTTGAGCATACCCTTTAACAACTAGACGAGCTTTGTGCTTGTCTATACTGCCATCAGCATGGTATTTGGTTCTGAATACCCATTTAAGCCCGATTGGACTCTTGTTTTGAGGAAGATCGACCAGCTCCCATGTAAGGTTCTTCTCGATGCAATTTATTTCTTCCTTCATTGCATTCTCCCACACTTGCTCTCCTGCAGCATCTGCATAAGAAACAGGATCTGACACATACAAAGCAAAGTTACATGTATCATATATTTCTCTCAGGGATCTTGTTTTTCTTGGAGGTGACCCGGACAGTGAGTTTGATGATGATCCAGAATGAGGACTTTGGTTTCCAGAGGAACCATTGTTGCTTGGTGAGGAAGGACCCGAACTGTTGCTTGAGGTTGTGGATGAAGAGACGAAGCTTGGCTCGGGACTTGCATGTGTTGCTATCTCACCAGGTGGGAGTTCAAAGTCTTCTGAAGCTCCAGTTAATGTTGATGTTTATGCCCCTTCATGAACCAGACTCCAATCCCAGCTTTCTCCTTCATTAAACTCAACATTTCTACTGACAAACACTTTACCACTTAACGGATTATACAAGTGATATGCCTTGGATTGTGCACAGTAGCCAATAAATTAAAATACACTTAACAGACTTTTCATCAAGCTTAGAGCGAATGTTGACTAATGCATATGCTACACATCCAAAAACTTTTAAGTGGCTTACCCGAGGCGCTCTGCCTTTCCACGCTTCATAAGGGGTCTGATTGAGGACTGCCTTTGTTGGAGAGATATTGAGAAGATATACGGCTGTTGCTACCGCTTCTCCCCAGAACTGATTTGGAAGCTTCTTCTCTTTCAACATGCATCTTGCCATTTCGACTACAGTGCGATTCTTTCTCTCTGCCACACCATTCTGCTCTGGCGAGTATGGTGCTGTGAGTTCTCTACGAATGCCATTCTCATCACAAAAATCAGAAAACTCATCACACAAAAATTCTCCACCACGATCAGTTCGTAGACACTTAATATAGCAGCCGCTCTCTTTTTCCACCAAGGCCTTAAATTTCTTGAAACACTCAAAGGATTCAGATTTGAGTTTTAAGAAATAGACCCAACTTACACGACTGTAATCATCTGTAAAGAGCAAAAAATATTTACTCCCTCCAAGAGATTCTGTTTTCATCGGACCACACAAATCAGCATGCACTAACTCGAGCACATCAGAAGCTCTCCAGGACTTACCACTCGGAAAAGATTTTTTACTTTGTTTGCCAAGCACACAACTTTCACAAAAATCAATGGCACTAATCTTTGGCAATCCAATAGCCATATGCTTCTGACACAACAATTTTAGCCCATTGATATGAAGATGACCATAGCGTAAATGCCACAATTTTGCTTCATTATTACCCTTAGCAACTAATGCACATCCTGTAACATTTGACACTGCTAAAGAAAACATTCTGTTTTGAGACATGTGAACATTAGCTATGGACTGTCCACTTTTCTTATCTTGAATAACACAATTCATATCATCAAACACAACAGAATATCCAGAACTCATAAGTTGACCAACACTTAACAAATTATGAGCTAGACTAGGAACGTATTGCACATCAGTAAGAAGCTTTACGTTACCCTGAGTTGTTTTGATGGCAATTGTACCCTTTCCTTCAACCCGAATCTGCTTGTCATCACCAAGTTGAACCTCACTTTTCTGATCCTCGTCAAGATCTCGAAACAAAGACTTTGTGCCCGTCATATGATTTGAGCACCCACTGTCTATAAACCAGACATCATCTAAAACATCACCAATAGAGGAATGTGCCATAAACAACTTACTTTCTTCTTCAACCTTCTCTATGAAATTGGCATGCTTCTGCTCATGTCGTTGTTTAGACCAACATTCAACCTCCTTATGCCCGTACTTCTTGCAATAGTGGCATTCTCCAGCAAATTTACCTCCAGCAACTTTACCTCCAGAAAATTGACCACGTCCTCCTCTTCCACGGCCACGACCTCGACCACGAAAGCCACCTCTTCCACTTTCGCGACCTCCATTGTTATCGGACCTCCATTTGTTCGAGGGCTCCCCTCTCACTTGAAAAGCCTTCTCTTCCACCTTTTCCTCGTTTCTCTTGAATCTATCTTCATGAGCTAGCAAGGAACCCATTAATTCATCAAAGGAATAGGTTGACATGTTTTTTGATTCCTCAATGGCAGCAACAACGTGATTAAAATCTTTTGTTAAACTCCGCAATGCTTTACTGACTACAGTTAAATCAGTAATATTTTCACCATATGATTTCATTTGATTCACAATTTCAGACACTTTACTGACTACAGTTAAATCAGTAATATTTTCACCATATGATTTCATTTGATTCACAATTTCAGACACTCTAGACAAATAACTTTGCACAGATTCTTTGCTATGCATACCTAGTTCTTCGAAATTCCCACGTAAGGTTTGCAATTTAAAACTTTGCACAGATTCTTTGCTATGCATACCTAGTTCTTCGAAATTCCCACGTAAGGTTTGCAATTTAATAGAAATTACCTTACTATCACCATGATACTCCTTTTTGAGAATTTCCCATGCCTCTTTGGAAGAACTAGCTGCTGAAATTCTTGGGAAAATTGAGTCATCCAGTGCTCCTTGGATGTATAGCAACGCCTTTGCATCCTTCTTTCGATTCTCTCGCAATCGCTGATCAGGCTCTGCCGGTACTTCTATCGGCTCGGTATACCCTGTTGCCACCATATCCCAAAGCTCTTGGGATTTGAACAGAGTTTGCATCTTTCTTTCCCTTTTCTCTTTTTTTTTAAATTTTTGTTATTTGAGGACCCAACCTAACTTAGAGAAAAAGAGCTGCACGTGTCTTCTTTCTCTAATGCTCTGATACCAAATTTGTTGTAAAGTTAAGCAATATTTGTAGAGAATGATTTTTGATATATTTAACTCAATAATAAACTGGCCATTATATAGGCTTTACAATAAAAAACTTTAAACTGAAAAATAGGAAATGCTAGTACTTAGTGGATAATCATGGGCCACGATTTACTCCACCAAATATTAACTAAATACTCTGACTTCTAACTTCTAAGTAGTCCTAAGATGCTACTTTATTTTAGGAGATTAAACTGCCACTAAGGCACTAACAACTAACCACTTAGTCCACTAATTTTGGGGCATTAACAAACAGGGTGGAGGTTGGATTTGAAAATTTCCATTGATTAAAAAGAACTCAGTTAATGTAATGTTTGAATTTACTGAGTTCGTTCTGAATGAAAAACAGAGAAGAAGAAAGAGGATTTTTGAGGGGCTCTGGTAATGGGTAAGTGGGTTTTCTTATTGATTTTCGTTGTGCTTTCTCAAGGAGAATGATCCTCCTTATATAAGGGCTAAACCCATCAACTCTACGATAGAACAGGACTTAATAGCCAGTAGGAAGGAACCAGAACTGATAATGGTGCAGCAAGAGCTGAATTATGTCCACCAGAGGCATAATGCTGGAAGCTATAAAAACCCTGGTTCTAGTAAACCACAACCACGAGGACCGAAATCACAGCAGTTCAAGAGAAAGAAAGTACCCCGTGGAGCCTGCTACAATTGTGGAAAGTTCGGGCATTTCAAACCCAATTGCCCACAAGGTGAAAAGCAGGAGAATAAGGGAGGCTATAAGCATCCAGAACAAGGGGGTACTAGCAAAAGAGAATTCGTCGGTGTGACGGAATGTAATGCTGTGATGACGGATATCAGTGGTTGGTGGATCGACTCCGGTGCGACTAGGCATATCGCAAAGGACAAGAATGGAGTCGTAGAATTCACCGAGCTGAAGAAAGGAGAACAGAGAATCTATATGGGAAATAATACCTATCTCGATGTAGAAGGTATTGGTTCGTATAGATTGAATCTTGGGGACAGCATTCTTGTCCTCAAAGATGTGTTCTATGCGCCAGGAATTCGACGCAATCTGATCTCTGTTCCCAGCTTGATGAAGAAAGGACTGGAAGTGAGGTTCTATAATAACAGGGTTTCTATAGGCAAGAATAATAAAGTGTATGCTATGGGTAAATATGTGCCCGAGCATGAATTATGCATTCTTCCAGTAGTTTGTAATAATTCTGATAATAAAATTTCGAATTTGAACTACTTGTCCTGTTATATTTCTGAATCTGAATTGTGGCATTCTAGACTAGGACATGCTAGTATTTCAAAAATGAAAGAAATTATCAGAATGAACTTGCTTCCTGCACTATCTAATGTTCAATTGCCACCATGTGAACATTGTTTAACTGGTAAAATGACTAGAAAACCTTTTGTTGGCGGACATAGAGCCAATGAACTTTTAGGGTTGATACACTCGGATATTTGTGGTCCCCTAAGTGTCAAAACTCATAGTAATAAAGAATATTTTATTACTTTTATAGATGATTATTCCAAGTTTGCACACGTCTATCTTATATCCAGAAAATTAGAAGCTTTTGACTGCTTTAAGAGATATAAGACAGAAGTTGAAAATCAACTTGGATTGAAAATCAAAATTCTGAGAACTGATAGAGGTGGAGAATATAATTCTAAAGAATTTGAAAGTTATTGTATTCAGCATGGAATTAAAAGGCATACAACAATGCCGTATACGCCACAACAGAATGGTGTTGCTGAAAGAAAAAACAGAACATTATTAAATGTAGTTAGATGCATGTTGTCTCATTCTGGTCTCTCTAAAAACTTTTGGGGAGAAGCATTGTTAACTGCAAACTACATTTTAAATAGAATTCCCACCAAATCAGTTATATCTACACCTTATGAATTATGGAATGGGAGGAAACCTAATTTGAGTCATCTCAGGAAGTGGGGATCTATAGCCCATGTTCTCATTCCATGTCAACTTAGAGATAAGTTGGATTTTAAAACAATAAAGTGTAGATTCATAGGGTATTCAGAAAAGTCAAAAGGTTATAAGTTCTACAATAAAGAAAAAGGTGTCATTGAAAGCAGAGATGCTACATTTCTAGAGAATCTAGAGGAAGAGGAACAAGTTCAAGAGGAAACAGAACCTCTAACTGTAATAGATGATGATTATTACAGTGTTGTTCCCACTAATGACCCTGATATTGTGAATGAACCTAACCTTGAAAATGATGAAATACCTATAGAAATTAATGTACCTAATCAACCGGTTGTAGGCAACAAAAGGCAAAGAACACAACCTTCATGGATGGATGATTACTATTTGTATTCATGTGAGTCATCCTGTTTTTCGGTAGATACAAATATAGAAGAACAAGATTCCTTAACCTTTTCTGATGCGATGAAGTCGCATGAATCAGCTTTATGGCTAGAATCTATGAGAGAAGAACTTGATTCCATAGAAAAGAATAAGGTATGGGAGTTATGTGATCTACCAGAAAATAGGAAAGCCATAGGATGCAAATGGGTGCTCAAAAAGAAATATCGTGTTGATGGATCTATTGATAAATTCAAAGCACGGTTAGTTGCCAAAGGTTATAACCAGAAGGCAGGAATAGATTTTCAGGAGACGTATTCTCCTGTAGCTAAATTTGCATCCATTAGAATTATTTTGGCTATTGTTGCATATCTTGATTTGGAGTTATTCCAAATGGATGTTAAAACTGTATTCCTTAACGGAGAGTTGAAGGAAGCAATATATATGCAACAACCTGAAGGTTTTCAGGTGAAAGAACAGGAACATAAAGTTTACAAATTAATAAAATCTCTATATGGTTTAAAACAGTCTTCTAGACAGTGATATCTCAAATTTCATGATGCAGTTACTAAACTTGGTTTTATTCAAAATAAATTAGATAATTGTGTATATGTCTTGAAAAGTGGGAGCAAGTTTACTATATTATCCTTATATGTGGATGATATATTGCTCGCTGGAAATGACATAGAAATGTTGAATAAAACCAAGGCAGATCTCAGCGAAAAGTTTGAGATGAAAGACATGGGAGATGCATCATATATTCTTGGAATTCAAATAATTCGAGATAGAAAGTCTAGAATGCTAAGTTTAAACCAAGAAAAATATTTAAGATCGGTTCTTAAAAGGTTTGGAATGGAGAATTCCAATCCGGCACCAACTCTGTTGGTTATAGGAAAGAGATTATGTAAAGAGCAAAGCCCTGGAGAGGGGCAGAAGCCATTAGATGTTCCTTATGCTCAAGCAATTGGAAGCTTGATGTATGCAATGTTGTGCACCAGACCTGATATAGCTTATGCTGTGAGTCTAGTCAGTAGATATCAAAGTAATCCAGGACCAGCACATTGGGAAGCTGTTAAAAGGATTATGAAGTATATCAGAGGTACATTGACTCATAGATTAGTTTATCAAGCTGATTCGCTTGAACTCCTCGGTTATTCCGATGCTGATTTCGGAGGTGATAAAGATGATGGAAAGTCTACTTCGGGATACTTATTCATCTTTGGAGGAGGAGCTGTTTCTTAGAGTAGCAAGAACCAAGGGTGTGTTGCTAGATATACGCAAGAAGCTGAATATATAGCTTGCAGTATGGCAACTACACATGCTGTCTGGATAAGACGGTTTTTGATTGATCTTGATCTATAATATTAACTAGCTTTTTTTGGGTTTGATCCACAGTGGGAAAAAGGTGGAAGGGGTTGGTTACAGGGGGTTCTTCATATTGGGGCCTTGACACAATTTTCCCTTGTAGGAAACACATTTTCCAAAAAAAAAAAAAAGGAATTTCTTAGGTTCTTTTGAAAATGAGTTTTTTTAATATTTAGCTTGCAATGAAATTGGGAGGAGGAAATAGGTTTTCATGTTTTCCATTGTTCAATTCACAAAACTAAAGTAAGAAGCGATAATACTTTAATCTTTTAAGAAAACTCAAGCCATTCAATCGATATTTTAAACCCTTATTAATAGTTTTTCACCCTTTTTCAAGCTTTGAGTTCGGAAATGAGTTTTCCTACAATTTGTTAGCTTGACTTGGTCATTGATGACCAAATCAACCACTGTTTCTCTGTTGAGAGAATGGTGGAGAACGTGAATCATGGGTGGTTGAGAGAAAATCTCTCATGGGGGCGGATCTGAGGGGTAGAGATGATGAGTTTAGCCCTTATATAAGGAGGATCATTCTCCTTGAGAAAGCACAACGAAAATCAATAAGAAAACCCACTTACCCATTACCGGAGCCCCTCAGATCCGCCCCCATGAGAGATTTTCTCTCAACCACCCATGATTCACGTTCTCCACCATTCTCTCAACAGAGAAACAGTGGTTGATTTGGTCATCAATGACCAAGTCAAGCTAACACGTTCTGGATGTGAATGTTACTCGTCGGGATCGTAAATCCGAAATAAGGCTGTAATTACTGAGAAACTGGTTTATTAAGCTCATGTTTGCTCAATTCGAAAGGTGAAAAAAAAAATTGTGAAGTTTTTATCCTATTTTTTTAAAATGGGTTATCTGACGGAAATAAAGGAACATACTCGGAGCATTGCCCATAATAGCGGAATGAAGAACAGTAGCACCATTTTCTCTCCGAGCACTCGGATGACCGCCCTTCTCTACAAGAAGCCAAAACATTTCACTCTCCCCAAACAATGCGGCTTTATGAAGAGGAGTCTCCAGCTGTTTGTTCCGGGCGTTAACAAGGTCCTGCTTTCTCTTAATCAATGCTTGAGCCATCGTCACATCTCCCTTCGTTGCAGCTACATGAAGCGCTGTATCTCCATCATGATTCGACTCCGACAGTTGGTCGTCTGGAATCGCCGCCAAAATCTCGATAGCAAGATCGGTCTTGTTGTATGCAATCAAAACATTGAGGAGAGGGTCTTCTGATAGGTTGACTGGGCCTTGCTTAGCGCGTTCCCTAAGAAAGTCTTTATTGTTTTGGTGTATGGCATCATCAATCTTTCGATGACTGCGAAGAAAACTCGTATCGCGGTAAATGGAAGGAGTTTCTTGATCTTGTGCTGCTAACCTTGGATCCATTTTTCGGTTTATTTCAGGGGCTAGTTTTGCATGAAAATTGGTTTCATGTGAATGCCGATATATATATTGTTCTCTAAAGGGTTAATTGCGGATAAACCCCTTATACTACAACTGAATTGGGGATAGAGCTATGTACTTTCATTGTAGCAGATAGATTCCTACATATATATATTTTTCTTTGCTCTTTTCCCCTCGAAGAAGGAGGAAACCTCATTTCACTTGGGGGTCCATTTGCAACAATAAAACTATAGGGGTCTATTGGCAATTGGGAGATAGTAAGGGGTCTATCTGCAACTAACTGTTCTATAAAAGGTGATGTACAGGTTTCTTTTGGCTTTGCTTGTAGCTAGAGGATGGAATGCTGGGATGCCTGGTCCCAGATTCTCAGGGAGGAAAAAGCTGATAAAGCTTAGTTAATTAATTCCAAAGAATCGGGAATTACTTGTACTGCTTATACTATAAAAACGTGGAGACTTGTGGTAATGATTGTCTTGAACTGAGCTGGCCGTTATAAGGATCTACACTTTGCTTGGGCATTTTTCTCTCTGACTTTTTAAGAGTTCTTTAACAAGCAAACTGTCGCGGTTGAAAAGTTTTGACATTTCACCTCAAGTAAGGTTAATTGTTTATGACAATGCTCTTGTTTATATAATTAAAATATCAAATTTGCTTATTCGCTTGGATTTTTTGCGTTATGATGTTACGCAACGAGATCTTGAAGCGAGTTTTTCTAGCTCACTACTTCCATAAGTAAGATCCTTGCAGCTGTTGTGCGCAGCGGAACCGAAATAGCACAAATACAAACGAGATAGAATCACAATCAATAGGTAAAACAAGAACCAAACAATGCAAGACACAGATTTTACGTGGTTCGGCAATGTGCCTACATCCACAGGGCAAGGAGGGGAGATATTTCACTAATAGGGTGAAAGAGAGTACAAATAGGGTTTACAATCACGTAAAATCTCACAAATAAAACCCTCAAACAAGCTCTCAAATCCCTCACGATTTCTCTCTCAAAGTCTGCTCAAAACTCTCTCAAAGTCTGCTAAAAAACGTCTCTTCAAACCCTAGAAATATCATGTTCCTATTTATATCAAATAGGAATCGAAAACCAACTGGGAAAAACCAACCAGGCCCATAACCGCAATCCGGTTGATCGGACATGATGTTTCGGTCGACCAGCCAGAAGATCGAAATTCTATCTTGTAATCTAGCACATGGCCGGTCGACCGTACAGACATGGTCGGTCGACCGGATCACATCTTCGATCGACTGCACATACATGGTCGATCGACCGGCCAAAACATGTTTATATGACCCTGTTCAGTGCATGTTTCTGGTCGATCGGACCTAAGCCCGCTGTCGACCAGCCAGCACCCAAAATGTCTTCAGCTTCGCTTTTCCTGTACTTTTTTCGCTGTTTTCGTCATTTCTACAAATCTCCACCTCGGTGAAGTTTTCCTAAAAACTGAGCCGACCCTGATGTTTGCGTCGAAAATTGTTGTATTCATTGCGGTATTCATTACAACTTCGGTCGTTACAATGAAAACAAAAAGATAATCTTTTTATAAGATCTTTACATAATGAAAACAAAAGTTACAACTCTCGTCAAAACAAACGCAGAGAGATCGTTTACCGGTCTTCTGCTTGCGTGGGTGTCTTTGCCTGTGCCGGGGTTTATCCGTGGACCACCTTAGATCTAGATCCGGTTGATGAAAAATTTGGCAGAGCTTCGTCTTCACCGAGGAAGTATTTGATTTGAAGCGCTGAGATCGACCAAGCGAAATCAGGGCTCTTCTTGAGATCAAGACCAAGCCTGATCTCAAGGACCTTCTTTATGCCGAAGAACTCGCCAAGATCTGTCAACCCTCGCTGAAATTCGTGCTCCTTTGACTCCACAATCCGGCAGCACCTCCTCGTCTTTATAATCAATCGCCCCAGCTGAAAGGAGGCCCTATGCTTGTATTTATAGGGCTTCGGAAGTGGTTATTTGGATGAGAACAAGTGATTTGGCCTTATCTTTAGTCAATAACAGCCTAACCACGTTTGTAGATGATATCAAGTCAGTTTGGATGCTCAGGAACCAACAAATCTCGATGAAAAATTCGGCACGGACGCGGGGGTTTTTTGCTTTGTTGAGTTCTTCGGTGTTTTCCGGCTTTTCAGGGCTTGTGTTTTCCACCGTTTTGCGTGTTTGACCGTCTTGTTGACTTGTACGCTTCATTGCAGAATTGACCGTCAAACGCGTGTTGATTGACGCACGCATGTTGATTGACGCATGCGAACTGATTGATGCGCACGAATTGGTTAACATGCACGAGCTGAATGATGCGTGCGTGTTAACTGACTGTTGGGCGCGTTTGTACGCTTTGAGTTGATTAACGCGTGCGGTCTGTTCGCGGTGAAAATCGTGTCTTTCTTTGTAATTGATTCCATTGTCATCTTAAATAACAGCTTTTTGAGTTACAAAGATCCGGTCTTTTTATAAGATCCGGTTACAATGAAAATCAAAGAAAATAAAAAAAAGATTACAACTTTCTCCTTTTGTGTCAAACGAATCGCGAGCTCCTGTTTTGCGGTCTCTCGCTTGTGTGGGTTCTTTGCCTGCGCCGGGGTTTATCCGTGGACCACCGCGAGATCTAGATCCGATCGGATCTATGCAGTACGACGGGTATTATTTCACCAAGGAAATAATAGCCGGGGGGATTGGTTCACCAAGGAAACAATCGCCCAAATCTCGGGATCAAAGGCCAAGCTTTGATCCGGAGTACGCCTACGTAGATCTGAGATCCGGTCCTCTCGAACTCTTGCCTTATTTGGCGTTGATGATCGCCGAGCACCAGATCTGGATGAGCAAGTCCCGAGCCACCCCGAGGTGGCTCGGCCACCGAGCCACCGAGCCACCTCAAGGTGGCTCGGCTGAGGCCGAGCCACCTTGGGGTGGCTCGGCTTTGGCCGAGCCCCCGCGGGGGGTGTTTTCCGACTTTTTCGAGTCGTTTTCCGTTGTCTCGTTTGTCCGTGTTTCGGTTGACCTGAGACTCTGATTTGATGGTTTGATTTGGCAGTAATTTGGATTCCTGATTTGGCAGTAAATCCGCTTCTGAGTTCGAGTCCGAAACTGATCTTGATTCGATCGTGATTCGTCCGAGTCCGCTCTCGGTTGGATGACTCGTTGATTCCTCAACTCATTAGCTTGATTCTGCACGCGGGTGGATTCATTCCGTTGCTTCCGTGCGATTCGTCGATCTCGTCGCCTCGTTGGCTCGTCGGTTTGTGCCGAGCTATGCTAGGGGACCTATAAGCAATTTTATATGCCTACAGATACCCCCTCCAAAGTATTTCAGCCTCGTTCTTTTATAGAAGAGTCTGGAATACTTTGGATATGATTGTCCCAACCTTCAGTCGGTGTAACGGGACCTTGGAATGGCTTCTGTTCTTGATTCCTTCAATCCTTCAGGCTATTCGGTGCTTTGTCGAATATCTGAAAGGGTTTCGGTGCTGCATTTATTGTCTGACCGTTGTCGGAATTTCTAATTTGACGTCAGTTCCTAATTTTCTGATCTTTAGCTCGTGCTTGTTGGTTCAACATAGAATTGACCATCGAATGTTGACGTTGAGTCTTTGTTTGCGACGCGTTGTCCGGCGTAGTGTTATTGAGTTATCCTTAAGAATATTTATAAAAACATTCTGCAGGAACTTCTCAACCGAAAATAGGGAACAGTTTATACTCATATACCTTATTGGAGTATTAAGAAGCAGTTTATACTCGTATACTTTTCGGAGTATTGATTCTTTCATTGCAACGCATTGATCGACGTTGACCTAGGGTTACGCGTTGACCGGCGTTGACCCTAGGGTTTTGAATGTCGTACGTTGACTGTTTGGTCGTAACGCATTGACTGGCGTTGACCTAGGGTTTCGCGTTGTCCGGCGTTAACCTTAGGGTTTTGAACGTCGTACGTTGACTGTTTGATTGCAACGCGTTGACTGGCGTTGACCCTAGGGTTTCGAATGTCGTTGGATGCTCAAGTCACGAGACCAACTAATGAAGTTGATGCGTCAGTGACTCTCGTATTTATAGGATTTTTGGCAAACCCTCAGCCATCAACGGGTTTGATGAGCCTTTACCGACCACCGTTTGAGTCGGGCTAGCATGCGAATTATCTAAATCCGTTCCGCATGTAACGTTGTGCTAAGAGAGTTAACGCTCTTAGTGCTACGATATTGAATACGTAGACTTCGTCTTTCTCCTGTGAAAAGACTAAACAGCAACGTGTATGAGACGTTGACTTAGGATTTTTGGCAAATCCTCAGCCCTCAACAGATTTGACATGCTCTTACCGACTACCGTTTGAATCGGGCTTACATGCGGATTGTCTAAATCCGTTCCGCATGTGACGTTGTGCTAAGAGAGTTAACGCTCTTAGTGCTACGATATTGAATACGTAGACTTCGTCTTTCTCCTGTGAAAAGACTAAACAGCAACGTGTATCAGACGTTGACTTAGGATTTTTGGCAAATCCTCAGCCCTCAACAGATTTGACATGCTTTTACCGATTACCGTTTGAATCGGGCTTACATGCGGATTGTCTAAATCCGTTCCGCATGTGACGTTGTGCTAAGAGAGTTAACGCTCTTAGTGCTACGATATTAAATACGTAGACTTCGTCTTTCTCCTGTGAAAAGACTAAACAGCAACGTGTATCAGACGTTGACTTAGGATTTTTGGCAAATCCTCAGCCTTCAACGGATTTGACGTGCTCTTACCGACTACCGTTTGAATCGGGCTTACATGCGGATTGTCTTAAGTCCGTTCCGCATGTGCTTCTCTTGGGGCAAAGACGAACCCGAAATGGGAGAGAAAGAATTTTATATTCTATCTCCCGACACTGAAGAAGAAGAATTTTATATTCTATCTTCAGCTGGAAAGGAGACTCGAGGTGGGATCTCCACCCCCAGAATCCGGAAAGGTGAAACTAAGAGTGGGATCTCCACTCCGAGAAAAATTCAGATAATCCTAACTGTCCGAAGGTTTGATTATCGAACTAAAGGTGAATTTCTCGTTTATCGAGAGTGAATTATGGTTTTGATCCTAACTGTAGGAAGGTTTGGCCAAATGGGAGTTTGAGGTGACCCTAACTGTAGGAAGGTTTGATCACTTAATTTGAAAGTGGACCTCTCGTTCATTGGAGGAATCGAGAGGGGATTTTGACTGTGGTCCTAACTGTAAGAAGGTTTGACCAATTGGGAGGTTTGAGACGATCCTAACTGTAAGAAGGTTTGATCGTTCGATTTGTGGACCTCTCGTTCATGGAAGGAATCAAGAGGAGATTTTGGCTGTGGTCCTAACTGTAAGAAGGTTTGACCAATTGGGAGGTTTGAGACGATCCTAACTGTAAGAAGGTTTTATCGTTCGATTTGTGGACCTCTCGTTCATGGACGGAATCGAGAGGAGATT